CTGGTGAATCCTCTCACCCTCCGCATCTCTGGCCTGTACCCCAGTTCTGTACGAATAAATAAATCTTTAAAAAAAAAATGTTAAAAATGAAGATAAGCTAAAACCATAAAATTCTTAGACAAAAACAGAGTCATAAATCTAGATGAACCTTGGATTAGAAGGCTTCATAGACCATACCAAGCACATGAACAACAACAGAAAATAGACATCATCAAAATTATAACCTCTTAGTACATCAAAAGACACTATCAAGAAGCAACAACATAGAAAATGGAGGGAAATCTGTCCCCTGTCCCCTATCCAATACGGGACATTATCTAGATAAAGAACTCTTGCAACTCAATAATAAAAGGAAAAATAAACCACTGAAAAAATGAGGAAAAGCCTGAACAGACACTTCAACAAGATATACAAATGTACAATAAGCATCTAAGGTGTTCAACAGCCTTAGCCAACTAGGAAATGCAAATCAAAACCACAAAGAAGAATGGAGAGTTAAGGTTTAATGGGAAAGCCTTTAAGGGAAAGCATTCTGGAGAGAAATGGTGGAGTCTGTACTCATTGCCACTGAACTATAAGCGTAACAGTGACTGCAGTAGTAAATACTGCTGTGTATATTTTACCACAAAGAGATACCACTTCATAACCTCAAGAATCACTATAATAAAAAAGACAGACCACAGCCAGCCAAGCAAGGATCTAGAGATACTGGAACCCTTATGCATCACTAATGGGAAGGTTAAAAAGGTGGTAGAGTTACTTGTGAAAACAGGCTGGCCTTAAACAGAGTTACCATAGGATCCACCAATTCCAATCCTAGAGATGTGCCCAAGAGAAATGAAAACACTTAGCAACACAAAAATTTGTACATAAATGTTGATAGCAGCCTTATTCTTATCCAAAAAAAAAAAAAAAAACAAGGAAAGAAACATCAACTAATAAACAGAAGATGGTATAGCCAATGAAATATTACTAGCCCACAAGGGAAATGAAATATTGATAAGTGCCACAGCATTTTGTCATACAAAAGAACCAGTCAAGAGTAAAATACCACATGATCCATGTATCTGAAAAGACTGGCCAGGGATCTTCAAAGACAAAGCCGATCCCCTCTGCTAACAGGTTTGGGAGATGAGTGAGAAGGGATGGAGGCTGCTGAGGAGCATTCCATCTGTGGTAACAAAGTAGTCATGCCTTGGTATAATTACACATTCAAATCACTGCCGACAGTCACAGGTAGCTGTTACACATTAAAAAATGAATTGGTCCCTCCCTGGTTGCCCAAAGGGTTAGGACACAGCACCGCAGGCTAGCCACAGCCGCTGCAGTGCAAGTTCAATCCCAGGCCCCAGAGGTGGCCCACATGGTGCAGCAGACTTCTCCTGTCTTGCCCTCAGCAGTGCACTTCCTCCATCCGCCTGTTCTGCTCCCCACTCTATCTCTGAATCCTCTCACGGCCCCTGCACCTCTGACCTGTACCCCAATTCTGTATTTGTAAATAAATACATCTTTTTAAAAAAAATGACTGAACTGTACATTTTAATTATAGAATTATACAGTATGACTTGTACCCCAATAATGGTATTTTCATTTCCCCCAAAAAGCAAAAGAAATAAAATATTCTCAATATCAAGGT